ATAAATTTAAATTATTTAAAGTTTAATTTAATAATTTTATATTTAAGATTCTAAAAAATATAAAAATTATTAATTTTTAAAGAGAAACGTTATTAAGATTTATCTAGAAATATTTGCAAACTGGCAATTGAGAGGAAGCTATTTTTCAAAATTTGCACCTTTTTTTTTTGCATATGACACAAAGAAAGAATTATTTCCTGCTTTATAATAACTTTCTATTTATGTAATTTTTAATTGATTAACAATTATTTTACATGATGAATGATCCTATTTAATATCTGTGCATACTAATAATCATTTACTGTATGACCTATTTACAAAATACTTTAATTATTTGTTAAAAAGGTTTAAAAAATTATAGTGAATTCTCGATACAGCGATTTGTTTAGCTCTGTTCTTTGAGAGTTCACTATATCGACGGTCCACGGTAATAAAACTTTTTATAAGCTTAAACATTGTAGATATTTTTAGAATATAAAAATGTCTGTAATTTTTATATAAAGCTCAAGGGACAGAGCTATCTGATAAATCAATTGTCTACCAAAAACAAGAAATAATTGATATGTTTTGGAAGTGCTTCCTATCATAACTATTCGTGTTTACTGTATAGAAATAATTCTTAAATAATAGATAATAATAAAATTTTAAATTTAATTACATTAACTATATATGAAAGTCCAATACATGTAACTTTCTATAGTAAAACCAGTTAAATCAAAGGATATTTTTAGGAATTTCGTATAGTAATATCATTATCACGTTTATTTTCATGTCATGTAACGTTACTCACGATGAGCTGATATTACTATATAATAATTTTTATGGGAGTAACCTGTCCTTGTTCAGTTAAAAATACTGGATCGTTAAACTCGATCTGCTTACAGAATTTATTATTATGACTTTTTGATATTGATTTATGGAGTCTTTAACCTATTGATTCTAGAAGAAATAAGTTACACGTATATTGTTCGAAATTATAGAATTATTATTTGGAAATAAAGAAATTAAAGATAATTTATCATTTATAGATTCATGCAAAGCATCGTAGATGTTATAGTTGTACCTGGTCCAAATACAGGAGGTCCTGTGTTTTCGAAAGATAAATACGAAATTCAAGTTAGTGAAGGTGCTTCGTTGAATTCCGCAGTAATAACTGTTATAGTGAGTCATACTTTTATATTATTTTATTACTCTAAAAGTCTGAACTTTAAGATTTTTTTATTATATTAATAAGGCTGAAGATCCGGAAAGAGACAAAGTAAAATATAGCATTATAGAAGGAAATATTAACAAAGATTTCGATATTGGACCAAATAGGTACGCAGTTTAGTTTATTTTTGCCCAAAGTAATTTTCTTATATTAATGTAAATAATTATATTGATATTTTAGTGGTGTGATATTTGTTGCTAAGAAGTTAGATAGAGAAGAAGTATCCACATATAATCTACTTGTCAAGGCTGAAGATCCCAGCGGATTGGTAAATATTACAAAGGAATTTAGTACAATAATTATATTATCAGAATATTTTGGCTTTGATTGTATATATACTTAAATAAAAATAATTATTTTAGTTTAACACAGCTACTGTATCAATAACAGTAACTGATATCAACGATCAAAATCCCATCTTTCTTCAAGATAATTATACATTCGTTGTAGATGAAGGTCTTGTTAGAGCACCCATTGGAGTGGTTCAAGTATATAAAATATTCTTTATCCTTCTAGATTTTAAAGCAATTTAATGCTTTACGAAAAAAATTTTTGTTCTTAAGGCTCGCGATGATGATATTGGTACAAATGGTGAAGTCTTGTATTCTGTATCAGGAAATAAGTAAGCAGCTTTTATTAAATTGAAATCTTAACATATTCGTATTTATATTCATATTTTTATTAATATTTTAGCGATTTTTCGATAAATCCTCAGAATGGAGAAATACACGTGAAAAAAATGTTAGATTATGAAAAACAGAAAAAACATTTACTAGTTGTAACTGCTAGAGACAAAGCTCCTGATGCTAGGTTAGCAACAGCAAGTGTAACTGTACTTGTAAATGATGTACAAGATGAGAAACCAATTTTTACAACTCCTGTATACGAAGCAATAGTTCCAGAAAATCTTCCTCATCAAGAAATTGTACAAGTACAGGTATGTTCTTGAATATTTTTTTAAAAAATTACTTTACCTCATCATAATATTAATTGTTTATATATATGTGTATGGTTTAGGCTACTGATCCTGACTCAGTTAGTAGCATTACTTACATATTGAAAGATGCGGAACCTGGTTTGTTTGCTGTAGATCCAGTAACTGGAGTGGTAAGGACACTCAGGGGGTTAGATTTTGAATATAAGAACACATACAGACTTACTGTAGGCACTTTGGAAAATGATAGCAACGATCCAAGAGCAACTTGTACCGTTCTAGTCACGGTTCAAGTAAGTTTATGCTTATTTAAAAATGAATTTTTAATAATTTTAAACAACTTTTTTAATAATAAAACTTATACTTTAGGATAGAAACGATGTTCCGCCAACGTTTACAAGTGTTCCTCTACCAATTAGACTACAAGATACCGTTCCATTAGGTACCGTTGTTACAACAGTAGTTGCTACTGATGCAGATGGAACTGTAAATACAATTTATTCTGCTTTATATAGAAATAATTATAATTAATCTGATAATATCATTTTATAAATAACTTGTGTCTTTTAAATAGCCTCCCGGAAATCAAGTTAGATACGAGTTAAGTGGCAGAGATAAGGCTCCGTACTACTTTTTAATTGATGGTAACAGTGGTGTCGTTTCTGTGAAAGACGATCTTCGAAAGGAACCAGACTCAGAATATCGCGTATGTTATAATTCTACGAAAATTTGTAGAAAATGAAAATTAAAAACGTATTCAAATTATATAAATATTTTATTTTAGATTGAAGTTAGAGCTCGAGATCTTGGAGAACCTTCTCTTTCTGCTACAGCCACCATAACTGTTTATGTGGAACATATCGTTACAATTCCTCCAAATTCCGGACTCGGTTTTGCTGATAGTCATTACACGTGAGTAGAAAGCCTTAAACAAATTATTTCTAAATATTAATTAATTAAAAAATAAAATTAACATTTTTTAAATTTAAATTCAATATTTATCGGCACAATAAAATAAAAGAACAATGCTTGAAATGAATAGAGAATTGAGACAAAGATTAATATTATCAAAATGATTAGCATAAATAATTTTTATCATCGTCAAAGAGTAGGCAACTATCTGTCNCGGTTCAAGTAAGTTTATGCTTATTTAAAAATGAATTTTTAATAATTTTAAACAACTTTTTTAATAATAAAACTTATACTTTAGGATAGAAACGATGTTCCGCCAACGTTTACAAGTGTTCCTCTACCAATTAGACTACAAGATACCGTTCCATTAGGTACCGTTGTTACAACAGTAGTTGCTACTGATGCAGATGGAACTGTAAATACAATTTATTCTGCTTTATATAGAAATAATTATAATTAATCTGATAATATCATTTTATAAATAACTTGTGTCTTTTAAATAGCCTCCCGGAAATCAAGTTAGATACGAGTTAAGTGGCAGAGATAAGGCTCCGTACTACTTTTTAATTGATGGTAACAGTGGTGTCGTTTCTGTGAAAGACGATCTTCGAAAGGAACCAGACTCAGAATATCGCGTATGTTATAATTCTACGAAAATTTGTAGAAAATGAAAATTAAAAACGTATTCAAATTATATAAATATTTTATTTTAGATTGAAGTTAGAGCTCGAGATCTTGGAGAACCTTCTCTTTCTGCTACAGCCACCATAACTGTTTATGTGGAACATATCGTTACAATTCCTCCAAATTCCGGACTCGGTTTTGCTGATAGTCATTACACGTGAGTAGAAAGCCTTAAACAAATTATTTCTAAATATTAATTAATTAAAAAATAAAATTAACATTTTTTAAATTTAAATTCAATATTTATCGGCACAATAAAATAAAAGAACAATGCTTGAAATGAATAGAGAATTGAGACAAAGATTAATATTATCAAAATGATTAGCATAAATAATTTTTATCATCGTCAAAGAGTAGGCAACTATCTGTCAATTGGGTGTACAGGGTGGCCCAAAAGTCAGTTAATCGGGATGTATTTTAAGATTAGATTAAGAACGATTAAAATCAGTTTCGTGTGTGTTAACCGTTAAGTTAACGGTTCTTAACATAGGCTAATCATAAAAAATGATATATTCTCGGTTGACTGATTTTTGGGATAAATTGCAAAGATCATTTCGGAATCTTTCTATTAAAATTTTCGCAAGTTTATAACATTTTTTCTTAAATATTAAAATATTTAAAATAATTATAATTTTAGTGATTTCGCTTTAGACAGTGGATTTTTGTTTAAAATTTTAAATAAAAATTTCAATTATCTGTTCGAGAATCTTGTTAGAATCTATTTTGTTTCTTCAATTCCGTAAATTGAAATATCTTCCTTTAAGAAAAATACAAAAAAAAACATAAAAATTATTAATTTTTAAAGAGAAACGTTATTAAGATTTATCTAGAAATATTTGCAAACTGGCAATTGAGAGGAAGTCATTTTTCAAAATTTGCACCTTTTTTTTTGCATGTGACACAAAGAAAGAATTATTTCCTGCTTTATAATAACTTTCTATTTATGTAATTTTTAATTGATTAACAATTATTTTACATGACGAATGATCCTATTTAATATCTGTACATACTAATAATCATTTACTGTATGACCTATTTACAAAATACTTTAATTATTTGTTAAAAAGGTTTAAAAAATTATAGTAAATTCTCGATACAGCGATTTGTTTAGCTCTGTTCTTTGAGAGTTCACTATATCGACGGTCCACGGTAATAAAACTTTTTATAAGCTTAAACATTGTAGATATTTTTAGAATATAAAAATGTCTGTAATTTTTATATAAAGCTCAAGGGACAGAGCTATCTGATAAATCAATTGTCTACCAAAAACAAGAAATAATTGATATGTTTTGGAAGTGCTTCCTATCATAACTATTCGTGTTTACTGTATAGAAATAATTCTTAAATAATAGATAATAATAAAATTTTAAATTTAATTACATTAACTATATATGAAAGTCCAATACATGTAACTTTCTATAGTAAAACCAGTTAAATCAAAGGATATTTTTAGGAATTTCGTATAGTAATATCATTGTCACGTTTATTTTCATGTCATGTAACGTTACTCACGATGAGCTGATATTACTATATAATAATTTTTATGGGAGTAACCTGTCCTTGTTCAGTTAAAAATACTGGATCGTTAAACTCGATCTGCTTACAGAATTTATTATTATGACTTTTTGATATTGATTTATGGAGTCTTTAACCTATTGATTCTAGAAGAAATAAGTTACACGTATATTGTTCGAAATTATAGAATTATTATTTGGAAATAAAGAAATTAAAGATAATTTATCATTTATAGATTCATGCAAAGCATCGTAGATGTTATAGTTGTACCTGGTCCAAATACAGGAGGTCCTGTGTTTTCGAAAGATAAATACGAAATTCAAGTTAGTGAAGGTGCTTCGTTGAATTCCGCAGTAATAACTGTTATAGTGAGTCATACTTTTATATTATTTTATTACTCTAAAAGTCTGAACTTTAAGATTTTTTTATTATATTAATAAGGCTGAAGATCCGGAAAGAGACAAAGTAAAATATAGCATTATAGAAGGAAATATTAACAAAGATTTCGATATTGGACCAAATAGGTACGCAGTTTAGTTTATTTTTGCCCAAAGTAATTTTCTTATATTAATGTAAATAATTATATTGATATTTTAGTGGTGTGATATTTGTTGCTAAGAAGTTAGATAGAGAAGAAGTATCCACATATAATCTACTTGTCAAGGCTGAAGATCCCAGCGGATTGGTAAATATTACAAAGGAATTTAGTACAATAATTATATTATCAGAATATTTTGGCTTTGATTGTATATATACTTAAATAAAAATAATTATTTTAGTTTAACACAGCTACTGTATCAATAACAGTAACTGATATCAACGATCAAAATCCCATCTTTCTTCAAGATAATTATACATTCGTTGTAGATGAAGGTCTTGTTAGAGCACCCATTGGAGTGGTTCAAGTATATAAAATATTCTTTATCCTTCTAGATTTTAAAGCAATTTAATGCTTTACGAAAAAAATTTTTGTTCTTAAGGCTCGCGATGATGATATTGGTACAAATGGTGAAGTCTTGTATTCTGTATCAGGAAATAAGTAAGCAGCTTTTATTAAATTGAAATCTTAACATATTCGTATTTATATTCATATTTTTATTAATATTTTAGCGATTTTTCGATAAATCCTCAGAATGGAGAAATACACGTGAAAAAAATGTTAGATTATGAAAAACAGAAAAAACATTTACTAGTTGTAACTGCTAGAGACAAAGCTCCTGATGCTAGGTTAGCAACAGCAAGTGTAACTGTACTTGTAAATGATGTACAAGATGAGAAACCAATTTTTACAACTCCTGTATACGAAGCAATAGTTCCAGAAAATCTTCCTCATCAAGAAATTGTACAAGTACAGGTATGTTCTTGAATATTTTTTTAAAAAATTACTTTACCTCATCATAATATTAATTGTTTATATATATGTGTATGGTTTAGGCTACTGATCCTGACTCAGTTAGTAGCATTACTTACATATTGAAAGATGCGGAACCTGGTTTGTTTGCTGTAGATCCAGTAACTGGAGTGGTAAGGACACTCAGGGGGTTAGATTTTGAATATAAGAACACATACAGACTTACTGTAGGCACTTTGGAAAATGATAGCAACGATCCAAGAGCAACTTGTACCGTTCTAGTCACGGTTCAAGTAAGTTTATGCTTATTTAAAAATGAATTTTTAATAATTTTAAACAACTTTTTTAATAATAAAACTTATACTTTAGGATAGAAACGATGTTCCGCCAACGTTTACAAGTGTTCCTCTACCAATTAGACTACAAGATACCGTTCCATTAGGTACCGTTGTTACAACAGTAGTTGCTACTGATGCAGATGGAACTGTAAATACAATTTATTCTGCTCTATATAGAAATAATTATAATTAATCTGATAATATCATTTTATAAATAACTTGTGTCTTTTAAATAGCCTCCCGGAAATCAAGTTAGATACGAGTTAAGTGGCAGAGATAAGGCTCCGTACTACTTTTTAATTGATGGTAACAGTGGTGTCGTTTCTGTGAAAGACGATCTTCGAAAGGAACCAGACTCAGAATATCGCGTATGTTATAATTCTACGAAAATTTGTAGAAAATGAAAATTAAAAACGTATTCAAATTATATAAATATTTTATTTTAGATTGAAGTTAGAGCTCGAGATCTTGGAGAACCTTCTCTTTCTGCTACAGCCACCATAACTGTTTATGTGGAACATATCGTTACAATTCCTCCAAATTCCGGACTCGGTTTTGCTGATAGTCATTACACGTGAGTAGAAAGCCTTAAACAAATTATTTCTAAATATTAATTAATTAAAAAATAAAATTAACATTTTTTAAATTTAAATTCAATATTTATCGGCACAATAAAATAAAAGAACAATGCTTGAAATGAATAGAGAATTGAGACAAAGATTAATATTATCAAAATGATTAGCATAAATAATTTTTATCATCGTCAAAGAGTAGGCAACTATCTGTCAATTGGGTGTACAGGGTGGCCCAAAAGTCAGTTAATCGGGATGTATTTTAAGATTAGATTAAGAACGATTAAAATCAGTTTCGTGTGTGTTAACCGTTAAGTTAACGGTTCTTAACATAGGCTAATCATAAAAAATGATATATTCTCGGTTGACTGATTTTTGGGATAAATTGCAAAGATCATTTCGGAATCTTTCTATTAAAATTTTCGCAAGTTTATAACATTTTTTCTTAAATATTAAAATATTTAAAATAATTATAATTTTAGTGATTTCGCTTTAGACAGTGGATTTTTGTTTAAAATTTTAAATAAAAATTTCAATTATCTGTTCGAGAATCTTGTTAGAATCTATTTTGTTTCTTCAATTCCGTAAATTGAAATATCTTCCTTTAAGAAAAATACAAAAAAAAAAAAATGATTAAAATAATTAGTATTTATTTTGTTTTGTTTTCTTATATTAAGTAGGAAGTTTTAGAATTTTTCTCACTTATTATATGATTATGCAATTTTTATTGGATTCTATATTGATTGCTTTCAAGTTTCAAGTTTAATTTTATATTAGTTATTTTAAAAATAATTTTGTATTTAAATAATTTTTAATGTTTTGTTTTAAAACAAATAATTTTTAATTATAAAAATTTAAGATGAATATAGAACAATTTAATTCATTTTATAATAAAGAGAGTTTTTCTTTATAAATTTAGGAAAGTTACCAAAATTATTGTCAAAATGAATAAATTGCTAGCACATAAGTTTTTAGGATAATAGATTTATTTATTCAACACCTTAATATCATTTTTTCCTGTTTATTTACGTCATTTTTAATTATTTTAATAATAAATATTAGTTTAAAAACGCATTCTTGTTTCCAAACCATATATAGCTTTAACAATAATTAAACTCCAAATAGTAATATTAAACCGTTTTATACAAGTAACAAGACTAAATATTTAATTAACAATATAAAAATACAAAAATACAAATTTATACGATGATTACTCGAGAAGTTTTGCTATAAAAATCATGCATAAACACATAAAGTGGTAGGAATGTTTAATGATAGAATTTTAACTTCATATTTCTTTACATATAGAACCAATAATTAAAGTATCCTTAGAGAAGTAGGAAAAATATTATATTGATCCTTCTCTTTATGCTTTAATTTGGAAAATTCATAAAATAAAACTGTTAGAAATTAAGAAAATTTAAAGGTATAAATGATTTTTTAAATCAACTTGTAAGAGTACTTAATGATAATAAATATTAATCACACTAGTTTGAAGCACTTATTGGAGCATATTTTATACCGATAAGTGCTCCTAGTTAGAGCATAGAACAAGTTCAGAACACTTATGGTTATTGAACACAAAGTGCTTCATTTTAGAGCACTTAGTGACATTAACTGACTCTATGCTCAAACTTATTGGCTTATATACTGTATTAGAGTACTTTTTATTTTCTCAGATTAATTAAAACTTTTAAAATATTCTGAATAATTAAATGATTTTGAAATTTTTATCCGATTTTTTACATTGATTATGAACGTTATTTCTCATTTGGTGTATGTTAGTAGTAGATTGTATTAGGTGCAGATCATGCACCTAATACAATCTATTACAATCTTCAATTAATGTAACTGGTATTACTCGATTTAAAACACTGATAATTACAACCAGTAATATCAACTTTAACAGATAGATAAGACATTCTTATCCTATATAAAATTTTAATTATTATTTTTTTTAAATTATGGCTCTAAATATATATTTTACATGCATATAATTTTATATAAAGTATTTTTTAATTAAATAAAATATTTATTTTATTTATTTAGTGTTGAAGTAGAGGAAAATTCTTTAGCTAATACTCTTATAAAAGTTTTACCTGTTATCAATAAACCCAGAGGTAATTTTCCAATTGGCTGTGAAATTGTATCAGGAAATGAACAAGGTATATAATAATATTACATTTAAAAAATATATTTTTAAGAAATTAATTTAATTTTTAAACTTTTTATAAAATTTAATAAAATTTTATAGAATTTTTTATATTAAACCATTAAAATTTAACTATTATTTATTTTATTATTATGAATAAATTTTGCATATGAATGTTAAATGAATATTGTAGATGTAGACAAGCTCTAATATAGGGATACTTGGTCTAGGCTTCACATATACAGGAATTTCAAGAAGTTAAACAGCTCAAGCTTAATTTATGAGAGACTCTGGATGTAAATTTTATGTTATTATATGAAAGACCTCTCTTGACTTTTGATGTCCGTCTAAATTATTTTTGAGATAAATAAATATTTTAAATAATTTTAACAATATTTTTTATAATAATATACAGGCCACTTTTATGTATCCGAAAACGAAGCAAGAGATTGCGAAATTAGAACAAGGGATCAAGGATTAGATTATGAGAAAACTAGCAGATACACATTAATCATTAATCTAAATACTGTCGAAGGATTTTTTGGTAAATAAATTCATATAAATTTTAAAATTAAATGATTAAAAAATATTATAAATTTAATCTTTTTTCTACAGGTTCCTCTAGACTTACGACTCAAGTAATTATTAATATAATAGATATAAATGATAACAGGCCTCAATTTGTAATACCACCTAGATACAGTCAGCTTACTTCAAATCGTTACTTAGCTGCTTTATCTAGTGATGCTCCTGTAGGAACTAAATTTTTTCAAGTTATTGTAAGTTTATATATTGTAATTTTATATTTAAAAAAATTTAATTAAAAGAAATTTATTTAAAAACATTTTTTTTAGTCAAAAGATAGCGATAGTGGAAGCAATAGTCGTTTATCTTACGAGATAAATAGAGAATCTGATCCAGAGAATCGATTCAAAATCGATTCGACATCAGGTTTTATAAGTAATAATAAACCTGTTGAAGATATTGTTGCTGAAGATTTACCTCTTCAACTTCAATTAGTTGTTAGAGATAATCCTGATCTGTTGAGTTCATCTCTTCTACAAACTGTTGAAATTTTGGTAATTTTTAAAGTTTAATCACAATTAATTTAATTTTAAATTAAGCAAAGAGATTGTAGTTTAATTATAAATTTTTTTTGAAATATACTAAAACTTTTCCAAATTTGCAGCTTGGATTAGTATGTAAGAGGCAACAACATCATGCCATAATTCATAATGCTTACAGTTTTTAAATATTTCAAGAAATCGGAATTTAATAAACGATAGTTCTTTTAATCAAATTCGTTAATTTTCTACGAATCTTTAAAGTTGTACAAAATTCTTAGAAAATTAACGAATTTGATTTTCAAAATTCTGAACCGTATATTAATATAAGAGTTAAATAGGATTCGAACGCAAAAAAAGAAAAAAAAACAGTTTAATTCTATCTGTTTCCGTTTTCGAAAATTTATGTAAAAGGATTTTCCCATTGAAAAAGCATTACATTTTTAACTCCATTTACTGGAGATTGCGTCCATAACCAAAGAGCTTTAATAAAAAAATTAATTCTGATTATTATGATCATAAAAATATGTAGAAAAATAGCAAATCTCTTTTTCAATGTGGATAAAAGTATTTCATTATTCTAAAATAATTCAACATTATACTACTAACGTAAAATTTTTCAATAGAACATTACAGTTTATTAGTAAAACCTAAAGGATAATAAAATTAAGTTTTAGCAAATGATGTATCTTCGAAGAAAATTACACTATCATACATTTTCCTTATCTTTCCTTGTATATATAAGGAAATTCAAAGAGAATTCATATATAAATTACATACATTTATAAATATTTATGATTTAAATTAAGTTTTTGTAAACAGTTAGAATACTCACATACTGATCTATCTCTTTTTAATTATATTTAAGAATAATTTTATATATAAATGTAAAATTTTTAAATTTAAAATCTAATTTTAAACAGTTAAAAAAAGAATAATAATAGATATTTAAGTTTTAAAATCTCTTGTAAATATATTCATTTACATAAGAGGAAAACAGATTAAGGTTACACAAAAGGAAAATATTGATATCTTTAAAGTTTAGGAATATAATTTTCCTTCCTTAAATGTCAATTAAATATTGATTAGAATCAAAAGGAAATGTAAGCTTTTATAAGCTTTCCTTTATTAAATTTCATAATTAATAAAAATAACATAAATTTCAAAATTTTTCTTTTAAAATATATTATTAAAAATTCTACAAACTTATTATAAACGTAAGATTTTTATACAGTAGAATCCCATAGTTACGATCCAAGTGATTCATGGAAAACGTCATAAACAAAACGTTATTACTTTCCCGGCTGTTATATAACTTAAAAGGAAAGTATGAAGTTTTGTGTATTAGGAGCATTGATGCTATTAAATTTTGGAGGTTAAAGGTTATTGGGGTGAGCAGATAGAAGGGGTCGTGTGTCAGCTCAAGTTGTGTCGGACTTAATGTAGATTTTACTTGTTATTAGCATTTACAGTTTTTTTTTTATTATAAAACCCATCCCTACCCTCAAATTAAGCCCTTATCATTTTATAATAATTAATAATATAAAATTTTTTAAAAATAAAATACCGTAACAGATGGCGTCACACACACTTTTATATATTGCTGGGAAAGTTACACAACTTGTTGCTGGATTTTATTTTTCTATAGATTTTGTATGATAAATTTAAATTACATTTATGGAAATAGTTTTTGAATTATATAATGCAATAAGAAAGATACAGCATTGAAGCTTGTTATATCAGAAAATCTATATACTTTGTATCGTGTGTTTTAAAGCGTTAGGTCGTAAAGTGAACCGTTATAGTTTTATTAAGTTCATTATGATAAATTGAGATTTAGTTTTTGGAATTTTTTTTGAATTATAAAATATGGAAAAAAACCACAAAATTTCATATAGTCTACAGCAGTTCAAACATTAGAGGTTGTAAATGGAGAGGTCGTAAAGCGAGGTCTATTGCATATCGATGTATTTGTCACTTTAATAAATTATAAATAAATTAATTCTTATTCACTATTCTTTTCAATTTAAAAATAAAATTTTTTCTATTTATTTAATAATAAACAGATAAATGTTATTAACGACGATAACCGAATGGTTTTAGTTGTAAAGGATGCATTACCAAATCAGATGTTAGATATGAAAGAAAATATCTTAAGGTAAATAGTTAAGAAATAATTTAAATTAATTCATTTTCTCATAAATTGTATTAAAAATTAATATTTTCTTTAGCGTAATTCAAGAAAGAACGGGAATAATTCCCGATTTTGAGAAGGTTTCCATTCTAAAATTACTGAAAAATAATTCTATTGAAACAGATAGCACAGGGTAAGTAATGTTACTTACAGTTTCAACGAGTAATAAAATAAAATTTTGAATGTAAAATATATTGTTTAATTTAAAATAAATCTTTATAGTCTATATTTAGATTTAATTATTTAAAATTTATTTACTTTTTTTAATATAATATTTGTCAAGTATTTATCTGTATACAAGTTTAGTGCAGTTATAAACTGTATTGCATATAAATAAGCAGCCCCATAGCAACAAAAGGAAACAAATCTTTAATTTAAAAAAAATACAAATAAAAATGTACAAAGGTATATTAATCAATATTCAGATTATTAATAAATTAAAGTAAGTTTATACATTCAAAGTACACTATAATATACTTTACCTTTGTTTTAGTAAGCTTACTATTTTACTTCTTTAAAATTAAAGTAGCACTTTTACAAAACTGCTTAATGTTTAAATTTATAAAATTAACATTGAACATTATAAAATTAAAAAAAGTGCCATAATAGAGTAGAAAAATAGAAAAAGATTCAAGTATTTTCCAATACTAGATGAAGTAAGCTTATATAACACAGGAACGTGCTTGAATTTTTATTGTTTTATGCTCCATTAAAACATTTTTATTACAAGTTTACATATATATAAAAGCTTAAAAATATTTTTCTTATATATTTTACAAATTAAATAATTTCATTTTTAACTGTAATTAGAGATTATACCAAGATATTTGAATTATTCATTAATAATATTGACGATAATGAATTATATGTTTCTTTTGGTTCATATAAATTATTTCCCTTTACAATTGATTTATATTTTGTATTTTTATAATATTAAGTATTTATTAAGGATAAAGCATTAATTTTTTCTGAATTTTTTAATACAGTTTTTATACAATATGCAAAATGAAAAACGATTTTTCCAAACATTTAATATAAATCTGAGATTATTTTTGGAAACTTGATTCAAAATTGAGTGCAATATTAAACTTTCAATATGATCATAATCATTCAGAAGCAGTTAAATGTAGAATCATGTAAACTGTAGTTTTATTATCCACAAAAATCATCTTATTCTCCTAATGTGTAAAGAGATTCTGAGAAGAAATTTCCTTGAGAATTTCAGAATATCTCAATGAGGTATCCTGAAAGATTAAAGATCACAAAATTATAAATGTGTACAATGATATACTTAGCATGGAATATCTTGAATTTTTGAACTCTGAACTTTTGACATAAGTATATTCAAATTTTCTTACTTTTACTAACTTTAATTGTATATTTTATCATCTTAAACTGAGAAAGTATTGTGAATTTTATAGATAACGTTGAATAATTTCAGATTAAAACATAAGGAATCGTTTTGTTAACTCATATTTCGAAAATAAAATTTTTGCTTATCTCTAAAACCAGTTCCATTAACATTACTTAAAATTCTGACAAAATGAAAATTATTCCAATTACATAAATATATTTACTGAAAATTCAACCATATAATTTCGAATTTATTTAAAACGACAAGACCCATTTGAAGTGGGTTGCCATTTGCAACCCACTCAGCAGTCACGACCCACAGGTTATAAAAGTTCATTCTTAGTGCATCTTAACCACATGTTTTATGGAAATAAAGTCGAATAGTTAAGTTAGTCATGTAAAGTCGTTTCACAATCTTCATCTTGTCATTTTTATCCTTTCCATTATATATGCCAATTATTTACAAGAATCAAGACTTATAATTTAAATGGGAAATATCAAAATTAAAAATCTTCTATTGTATACAAATTCGCTAAAATATTGGCATATTATTGATTATTCTTAAATATATTTGTTATCTGCTGATTCATAAACATCTATCTTTGTATATATATAAGCTATACACATAAAATGTTGGTGATGGAATATACAATTAATTAATTTTATATTTTATCATGTTCNATTTACAAGAATCAAGACTTATAATTTAAATGGGAAATATCAAAATTAAAAATCTTCTATTGTATACAAATTCGCTAAAATATTGGCATATTATTGATTATTCTTAAATATATTTGTTATCTGCTGATTCATAAACATCTATCTTTGTATATATATAAGCTATACACATAAAATGTTGGTGATGGAATATACAATTAATTAATTTTATATTTATTATAAGTATTAGAATTACCTTATAATAGAATCAGTAAATTACAATAATATTTCCATGTTAATACTCTATATTAATAATATAAAATTATACATTTACATTTAAGTATATGAAATTAATAAAGATTACATTTCTAGGAGCGATTTTTGGTTTTATATGGTAGATCCGGTAACATTTCGTATCTTGGATAGAAACGATCCTCGTATACAATCGTACGTAATTAATTTATACATATATATTTAATACAGTAAATTCTTCAAATAATTATTAATTATTCTATAATATAAATCATAATTAAATTACTAAAATTTGAAATTTTCAGAACGGTTTTAGAAGATGATTCGCAACTTGGTTTGGTTGCTGAAGTATCCAGTGTTTTAGGAATTAAAGCCAAATATATCAGACTACCTTTTGTTTTAACAAATCCAGATAATTCAGGAGGAAATACTAAACATGGAGTCAAACCTGTCAAAGCAGAAGTAGGAGTGAGTGATTTGGGAGCTGCTCTTATCGCTTTAGCATGCATTATCGTACTCTTAGGTGTAGTTGGCATTATATATCACTGCTTTATGTGGTCAAGGTAAGCTATAAGTTAATAATTATTAAATCTTTATAAATTTTTGATTAAATTTTAAGCTTAATTTCGATATAGATACGTTGCATACAGAGAAAGAATGAAACGCCTTTGCGTGGCTCCAAGATACGAACCAGTTTTTGTTGAACCCAGTCTGAAAGAATATGAAACTCAGGTATGTAATTGCAGAAGCATATATTTAAATGTTGATTTAAATATCAAGAAAATATGGCATTTATTATATTTTTACATAAATTTAGGTACTGCAAATGAGTGTTCCATTAGACGAAGAAGGAAGTATACCCGATCCTAATCTACCTATAAATCTAAAAGGGCTCGATGCTGTTTCTTACATCACCAGAGATAGAGGTGATGGATCTGCTTCAGCTTTTGGTGGCAGAACATTATCTACATTTCGAGGTGATTCAATTTCTCAAGTAGATAAAATGAAAATTGAAAATAATTCAATGAATACCCATCCGAAACTTGAAGATGATATGATGATTCCTGTGAAAAATCCATTATACGACGGTTATCTGTAAGTATCAATGCTACTAATAGTAAAGATTAATTTTTAAAAAAAATACTAAACTATGAATATATTTTAGTGATGATATCGATGATGAACCTTCGTTAGATCGAGATGATTTAGATTTGAAAGAAACTCAACAAAAATCATCAAAGCCTCTTCATAAAATACCCCATGTGGAGACAACCACTGAATTATGACAACTCCATTCTAGTGAGAAAAATAAGAAGATATCAAGCCAGAAACTTTTTCGTAATATCTTCATTTTTTGAAGACTGCCAAAAGAATATATCAAAGGCATCAGACTTAATATTTTTTTTTGTACAACTTTGTAAATAATTATACATACGATTTTTATACAGTGGTCAATAAAGTGCCATAAAAAATGTACAACTAACTTGACAAATTGTATTAAAACTATTATTTTTTCGCCATTTTAAAATAATTTTATTTGTAATTTAATAAATTATTTGATTTAAAGATAATTTATAATAACAAAAAAAAGATACTTGGGTTATTATTACTTTCATAACATAGAATGAATGGATCGATAAATTTGCACCATTTAACTTCACTAGTAACATATCTAGGACATCATTTTAATTTCTAAATGATCTAAATATATATATATATATTTTTTTTTATAAGCATATATTTTCATAAATGACATTTTTGATTATGTTAGTACTTCAATATGTTTCATTTATAATATTAATAGATTAAATGGTGCAATATTATTAAATTGTGTTAATAAATATAAAAAAAAAGTTAATAAACCAAATGATTCATTTCTACTAAAATTAAATACATTTTTATGAAATAAATATAATTTAATTTTGATATAAATGCACTAATAGCAATAATAAATATTAATTTTCCAAAGAATATAAAATCTTTAGACTTAAGATATAATTTTATATATCTTAAGTTTATAAATATATAAATTTATACGTTTAATTGAGTTATTATGTTTTATCCTTTAATAAAATGTTTAATTCTTACCTTAAATCGTGGTTAGCTTGGTTAAAACTCACCTTAAAAATAGTTTAACTTGGTTAATTCTTACTTTGAATGGTAGTTAATTTAATTCATTCAGATCGTTATTTGTAGTTAACTTGCCTGATTTACACCTTAAAATTTAAAATTAAAACGAATAAAATTTAAATATAAGGATGTTTAGTAAAATGAATTAAACTGGGAAATGTTTTCTTAATATAAAATTATTTATAACTTTAAAAGAATAATGGTATATATTAGAATAAATAACTGAATAATGAGAAATTTAGACAAATAGTATAATTGAATGGATGCCAAGAGAAGGAAGAAAATGAGAGGAATAACAGGAAGAATATAGTAAGATGACCTGGAAAGAAAAGCTGGAAACAATGGACAGAATCAGAAGATTGACAGAAGAAAGGAAGCCACTGAAGAGCCCTGTAGTAGATAATTGCAGATGATGATGATGTTAAGATTAATAAATTATATTTTATCATCTTCATGTCAAATAAATTTTTGCCATTTTAATAAAAATTGATTTAAAAACTGAGATCAAATAATTGTTTAAGAACAAATATATATCAGAATTAACATCATTTTAAATACATTAATGAATCAGTAGATATTGAAAATTTATAAATAAATGTAAATTTATACTTATGAATCAAATATTTTTAGAAAAGTAGATTTTTTTACAATTTAAAATATAGTGATATTATTATATTCAATATTGATTATTCAGGCTTTATCACAGAAGCAACAGAACAATTTAGCCTAATATTTATGATACTTCAAAAATATCTGTTACAAATAATTCATTCCGTTGCTTGTGTATTAAAGAAAAGTCATTATTTTTATGTCAAATTATATTATTTCAAAAAATATTTATAATGCAATTTTTTAATGGTTATTTTATACTTTTTAATATAATGGAAGCCTTTTTAGATTTCTCAGAGTTCAAAACAAGCCATATATGATACTGCTAATCTTGCTTGGTAGGCAAACTTTCATTTTCTTCACAGAATTATATAACAGATCTATTTATTTTTTACTATTTATTTATATACAGATTTATATATTTTTATTTATACAGAATTATACAGAATTATTTATTTTTTAATTTTCTATAAATACTAGTTATTTCTGTAATATTGTAATTATATAAACATTGGAAGTTGTCTTTACCATCTGATAAAATTATATTTTACTGAAGCAAATTACAACAAAATATTCTATTTTTGTCATTTTTAATTCATAAAACAATTCATATCTACAGATTATTTTATTTTTAAAAAATGAATTGCACTGTTTCTCTTCTTTTCAGANTTTTTTTTTATAAGCATATATTTTCATAAATGACATTTTTGATTATGTTAGTACTTCAATATGTTTCATTTATAATATTAATAGATTAAATGGTGCAATATTATTAAATTGTGTTAATAAATATAAAAAAAAAGTTAATAAACCAAATGATTCATTTCTACTAAAATTAAATACATTTTTATGAAATAAATATAATTTAATTTTGATATAAATGCACTAATAGCAATAATAAATATTAATTTTCCAAAGAATATAAAATCTTTAGACTTAAGATATAATTTTATATATCTTAAGTTTATAAATATATAAATTTATACGTTTAATTGAGTTATTATGTTTTATCCTTTAATAAAATGTTTAATTCTTACCTTAAATCGTGGTTAGCTTGGTTAAAACTCACCTTAAAAATAGTTTAACTTGGTTAATTCTTACTTTGAATGGTAGTTAATTTAATTCATTCAGATCGTTATTTGTAGTTAACTTGCCTGATTTACACCTTAAAATTTAAAATTAAAACGAATAAAATTTAAATATAAGGATGTTTAGTAAAATGAATTAAACTGGGAAATGTTTTCTTAATATAAAATTATTTATAACTTTAAAAGAATAATGGTATATATTAGAATAAATAACTGAATAATGAGAAATTTAGACAAATAGTATAATTGAATGGATGCCAAGAGAAGGAAGAAAATGAGAGGAATAACAGGAAGAATATAGTAAGATGACCTGGAAAGAAAAGCTGGAAACAATGGACAGAATCAGAAGATTGACAGAAGAAAGGAAGCCACTGAAGAGCCCTGTAGTAGATAATTGCAGATGATGATGATGTTAAGATTAATAAATTATATTTTATCATCTTCATGTCAAATAAATTTTTGCCATTTTAATAAAAATTGATTTAAAAACTGAGATCAAATAATTGTTTAAGAACAAATATATATCAGAATTAACATCATTTTAAATACATTAATGAATCAGTAGATATTGAAAATTTATAAATAAATGTAAATTTATACTTATGAATCAAATATTTTTAGAAAAGTAGATTTTTTTACAATTTAAAATATAGTGATATTATTATATTCAATATTGATTATTCAGGCTTTATCACAGAAGCAACAGAACAATTTAGCCTAATATTTATGATACTTCAAAAATATCTGTTACAAATAATTCATTCCGTTGCTTGTGTATTAAAGAAAAGTCATTATTTTTATGTCAAATTATATTATTTCAAAAAATATTTATAATGCAATTTTTTAATGGTTATTTTATACTTTTTAATATAATGGAAGCCTTTTTAGATTTCTCAGAGTTCAAAACAAGCCATATATGATACTGCTAATCTTGCTTGGTAGGCAAACTTTCATTTTCTTCACAGAATTATATAACAGATCTATTTATTTTTTACTATTTATTTATATACAGATTTATATATTTTTATTTATACAGAATTATACAGAATTATTTATTTTTTAATTTTCTATAAATACTAGTTATTTCTGTAATATTGTAATTATATAAACATTGGAAGTTGTCTTTACCATCTGATAAAATTATATTTTACTGAAGCAAATTACAACAAAATATTCTATTTTTGTCATTTTTAATTCATAAAACAATTCATATCTACAGATTATTTTATTTTTAAAAAATGAATTGCACTGTTTCTCTTCTTTTCAGAACAAAATTTAATGTTTTATTTGTTTATTTAGAAGTAGGATACGAAATATTTTTCCTGTAAAGAATAAAGAAAAGGTAGCGATTTAGATGTGAGAAGCAAACACGACCTTTGACTTCCTAATCTCATAAAATGTTCTTCATGACCAGTTTTCTTTGATAACGTATATGAAAGAATCACAAAAGAAGTTGCAAGACAGGTGGTCAATAGTCACAACCTGCAATTTTTATGTGAATCATTAACCGTTTTCGCATTCATTTAAAAAAAAATATTTTTAAAGCTATTTCTTATAAATTTATTCATAAGAACAGCAACAAACATATTTATTTAAAGTAAACACTTCATTATAATATTTTTGTAATTTGTATAATTTATTTTTAACTTTATTCGAGGCCATTTTGAGGATGTTTGGAATAAAATAAACATTTAAATAACTAGATAAAAATAATTTATTACTTTATATTGAATATATCTGAAGATATTATAAATATACCATTTAAATCTTACATTTAAATCCAAATTTTATTTTTTATTTCGATTATTTTTATTTAAATGCTTAGGAATGAGTTCTTGGAATATTTTAATTTAAAAAGTTTGAATAAAATACAGAATAAAAATTAATTATGGAGAAATAAATAAAAATCTTTTAATTATAAAGTTTCTAAATGTAAACCAATTTTTAATGGATAAATTACAACGTATTTTACAACTTAATTGCATTATATCTGAACCTTTTGATTGAGATCGAAAGTTGTAAATGAAATATAAAAACGAGTAACAAACCACTCAATCTTTATAGAGATTAAAAATGCGATTTTAATGTAAAAACTATACGCTTATTAATAAAAATGAACAAAAATGCATTGGAATGGAATACAATTTTATTAGTGTGAATGTAATGACGAAGGTAGTAAGTGATTACAATATCATAGTAAAGGAACAATTTCCTCTGAAACAATGATACATTTTAAACTAACTTTTAGTTCCTTCCTCTGTACTATCTCCTCTTGTTGGATACATGCGGCGATACGTATGGCCATAGAGGCACACATATACAGTACCTTATGCTATCTAGCGATAAGTTTGCCCATAAATACTGTATTACAACTGCCAGTCCTTCACATTCGTAGATAGCCAAAGTTGGAGTTCCATGTAGCATGTAATCCAAAAGACAAATCTCAAAGGGTGACAAATCTGGAGACCAAAGTAATCCAAAGAAGTGTAGCAAAGAGACGGAGACATTCCTGGGGAAACCTAGTCTTGTGCGGTCAAGCATTATCTTGCTGGAAAATGGCTGTTTGCAGTCCTGCCATGAAAAGTGACACATAATTACTCAAGAACCATTGAAAGAAGTACTGTCGTCAATGTCTCTTGTCTTCTACCTCTACTAGGGATGACGACTATCATACAAGATGGCTTCTCAGACTAGTATGCCAGGGTGAAGATAGTGCTCTGCTCGACAGTAAAGGTGGAACTGAAGCTCTGAATAGTGGTTCTTCGAGCACTATAGATCTCGTGGCATTACCGTGCATAAAAATTTGCCTCTTCTGGTCGCCTGCCAATTGGCGCGGTAAGGGATAAGGTTCTGTAGCTGTTTGTGCGTCTCGCGATCAGACGATCATCTCTCCTGGTGATCTCTCTGGGACATCCATAGCCTGATTTAATCCTAAACCTTTCTCAAACTCCGCTAGCTGTGCGTAATGCCTTTGATTGCATCATACAGGCATGCTTGGCGTTCAAACACCTCCAAACAACAGGTACAGTATATGAAAACTGAATACAATAAGTCTCTGTAAGATTTTTTTAAAATAGAATATTCAAATAGCTATTTTAAGGCACTTTAATGACATTGCCTAGCATGCAATCAGACCACAGCTGTAACATTTACGTATCTGTCTGAGAACTAGCGTATGCCACGTTTTGCAGAAATCAGATAATTATGGTTTCAAAACGTTATTGAGTGTACAGTACATTGTTTTAGTGTATAAATTTTACACTAAAACTGTACTTTCACTCACTCATAGACGATTTTACATGAAAATCGAATTAATTTTTAGAAAATATTCTCAATTTTGTTTACAATTATTTATATATTTTTTAAAATATTACATATGAAATTTTACCAATTAATATATAATTTACTGTTTTATTTAAATATGAGCAACTATTTATTATGACATCGCCACAATTCCGGGCAACAGTTTTTAATCATATTTTTTAAATTTATTTAATTTAAAATATATGCTCTCCACTTCAAATTAATAGTGTCTTGTCCCTGTACATCAATTTTTCCTATTACCAATAGAGTCGTGCCGATCATCTATGAACTACTTTCAGGAGAAAACTTTAATTGAAATAACATGACTTTCTGTTGGCATTGGAAATTCGTATATAGTTAATCGAGGCCGCCTTTCCGTAAGATTTCCATATCTAATTTGGAGTTAGATAAATGAAACTCTATTCTCGAGATTAAGGAAAGATAGTCGGACGAACAACAGTGGGAACTTATAGGTCTACAATTCTTTCAAATTGCAGCCCAATTACTCATTTTTATTAACTGATCATTGAGTTTTAAATAAATTAAAAACATAATTAAAAATTGCAATCCGGAATTGTGACGATCTCACAATAAATAATCGCTCGTTAACATTTTATTTTTTAATAGATAATTAAAAAAGAATAAATGAATTAATTTTTTATATTATAAGCTATTAAAATATCATAAAATTAGAACGTTTTAATAGATTTACCGAGATATTTTCGAGAGGAGTTTTAACAATAGAATTTTTAACAGGGCGATTATAGTCATTTAAGAAACTCTAAATTAAAATGGTAACAGAGGATGTGAAATAACGTTATCTGTCCATTAAATTCCTGATAATAATTGGAAATTTTATTTAAAAAATTAAATATTAATCATAAAAAGTCAAAAAAATTTCATAAGTTTAAAATATTTAGTGTTGAAAATAGTAAAATTGTAACAATCTGAATGTGCAAAAAATCAAGTATAAAACAGTATTTAAAAAAAAGAAACTTTAAGTACAGTCGAATAGTCGACCCCCTATAACACTGTTGATTATTCCGTTTTATATGAATTCCATGTTGTACGAGTCACTTAGATTTTACAAATACGTGAGCCATTCACAGCCCGGCACACCTATTTGTAAAATTTAAGTGACTCGTACAACATGGAATTCATATAAAATGGAATAATCAACAGTGTTATAGGGAATATTGCATGTGAAATTATTTATAAGCAAGAACAGAGTTTTTATTTTTACGAATTTCTGATTCTTATTTATCAATATAAAAGATTTTTGTTTATAAATAAGTAGCAAAATGCATTCCTCAAAAAGAGTGAATTAAAAATCAAGAAATAAACTAAATTTTAAACTTAAAAATAAATCTTGATCAAGGTACTTTGAAAACATCAAATTTATTCAAACTTATGTGAAACAAGAAAGCACAGTTTTATGATACAAAAATTATTTCATTATAAGCATAAATTGGCACTAGATTTTTACAATTGGACGGAACTTTCCTTAATTTAAATTAATGAAAGTTTTAATTAAAATTAAATTTTATAAATATTCTTGAAATTTGTATGAATACAAAAAAAGATCTTATTTATCTAATTATTTTAATAGGAGTCAATTTTTTTTAATAATAAAAATTAATTTGATTGTTTTATTCTGTTTTAGTAATTAATTTTTTGACATTTAAAATAATTCATTTTGTATTAATTTTAAATTTCCAATATACAGAACTTACAATATTACAATATTTTATACAGTAATTAATCCATGGTAATTGCAAAAAGTGATTATTATGCAAAATTTATAACAAATGAATAAACTCCATTAACTGGGAGTTTGATCAACCTGAGTCTTGGCATGCAAAGTTGTTAAAAAACAAATTGTAGATTATATACAAATGAATATTTAATAATTTAATGATAAAAGATTGAAAATGTTATTCTCATGGAAATGGTTTTTGTAGTTCCATAGAAGAGTATGCATATACGTCACACCTTCCAGTTTCAGTTCTGAATTTTCTTCTCTAGACACGTAAATTATAACTTTGTGTCTTCAAATAATGAAAACATAGTTAATGTATATGGAATTCTGTTATCCATGACTTTTGATTATCCGGGCACATCTTTTTCCATAGCCCGGTTAAGGGAGTTTTTATTGTATAAAACATTTTAAAACTATTGAAAGTAAGTAAAAATAGACTAAATATTCTTGATAACTTAAAAAAATACACAATTCAAAAGAACAAATTTAATATGTTACAGTCAGTCGTTCAAGGTAAAATTTTTAATGGTTTAGTCTATTGTTTTCAATTAAGAAGAAAAAAATCTATCTTATCCATTAACAAAAGCATCGTGACATGAAATTTTAAAATGGCATGCTACTGTATAAACAAACTTGACAGAAATATAAATAGGCCAGGTTGAAAACAAAATCGAAATTACTATAAAATATTTTTATAACTTGAAATTCCATTAAGAATTTGTCATTAAGAAATACTCAATTGATATTTAAAAAATTTTTTAAAATAATAATTATTTTTATGAAATATTAGAAAAGTTAAAAATATCTTTAATGTTTTTCTTTCATAATAATCACTTTTTAGTGAAGTAATAAGCATTGCATGAATTTCAACATAGACACACATTTGCCTAAGAAAGCGAAATTCTTAATCTTAAGTCATGAACATTTTCAATTTAAATGTCTTTACGTGAAAATAAATATAGGAATTTTTAAGAATGTTTTAAAATTCTGATGGACGGAGAATTTTAGGATATTTTTTTATGTTTATATCACAGATTTTCGAATATAGATGTTATAAAATATGTTTTTTTAGATGGCGAAATAAATTATCATTATTCGTTGTTGCAAATTATATTTAAGTAGGAAATTGCATTGATTTGGCAGCCTTCTTTTCTCTAAATGATGGAAAATCGATGCATTTTAATCAAAAATTATCAAATAATATTAATCTTTCCTTTTCTCTTTTCCATACTGCGTTAGAAATATCTGACAGAGAATAGACGGATATCATTAAAATATGTACATGATTACAAAGAAATTCATAAAAATTATTTTGGAAGTAACCTTTTCCTTTAATTTTTTGATGTTCACGGTGTTGGAATGCCACCATCTTCGGATTTTAATCTTTGTGTTTGCATTCCATCATATGCAATTGTAAATAAACTTTTCTTTTCTAACAGATTGTTCTTTTTTAATTTCAAACCACCGGGATCACGTCCGATTCCTGAATCAGAATCGTCTTCTTGACCCCAGCTACTTGCACCAGGTACTGCTCTGGTATTTTGTGAAGATATCTCATTTTTTCTGGTTTCCTGTTTAACTTCTTGGCTTACTTCACCCGATTTGGCGGCTTTTCTGATAGTTGCAGTTCGTGGTATAGTTTTTTCTCCAGATTGAGCTTTAGTCCGTTTTACTTGTGTTTGTCTAACATCCGATTGAATGTATTCATCCCTTTCGTAGGATGTATCAACATGATTTCTCGATTTGTTTTCGGAATTATATATATATTCTTCTTGTTGCCTACTATCCGCATCCGCAATGCGGCGGTTCCAAGACATTGAAGGTGGTTGATATGGTTCTGGTCTTCCATCGCGAGGAGGAACATCTCCATCTAGATATACGTCACTATCTCTTCGATGATATCTAGAAAATTTTAATCTATCGTGATCCCTATAATCTGAATATCTCGGAATTCTCGATGTTCTTGAAGTACCATGAATTGCGGTCTCACTAACACTACGATGTAATCCTGTACCTCTTACTCTTTCTCCATCCACGAAGTCAGTATAGTATCTTTGATCTATATCTTCTCTAGGTGGACTTCTGATGTATAGAATTTCTGTTCTTTTTGCTGCTTCGTTCCTATGGTCTGGACTCAGTTCGGTGCGATCCGACGAATCTAATGGATAATTATCCATTCTTATCAATCTACCGTCAGTATCTCTATTTCTGGGATCTACATCCTTACGAAATATAACATACTTTCCCAGTTGCCTTCCAGAAAGATCTTCAGGAGGTGGTTGATCGAATAGAATTTCATTATTAGGAGATATAGGACGACCTTGTCGATATATCCTTTCCATTCTTCCTTCTCGTGCCAGATGCTCCTCCAAGGTCCTCAAGTATTCCTCTTCCCTTCTTCTACTCTCAGGAGTATACAGGTGACCATTCCTTCTTGGATCAAGTAGATTTATTTCTGATCGATTGCGTTTTTCTCCTCTTTCAATGGCTGACATAGGTCGCCTCCAAAATCGGGGATAGCCTCTTTTCCAACCCAATCTCATCGCGATGCTAGATCTGAAAAGAAAATTTTAAAATTATCAAGAAAATGTTTTGCAATGTCTATTTAATTATTAAATTCTTTTGTAAATTTATAATTCTATTAAATTAATACAACAGCTGAATGACGTAATAAGAAATATAAAAATGGCTGCATGAATCATTAAATATAATGGTACCTGTGTTCCAGATAAACAGGTAAATCAATAATTTACAATGATATTTTCTAAGAAACTGAACTGTATAACGCATAACCTGATATGGGTAATCAATTCTACATTGTTTATATTATCATCAATGCCTTTTTTTGTCGAACATTTAAAGAGTTAACGTGATAAATCTTTAAATTTTTATATCAGGATAAGCAGACTAAAAATTCATAAATTTAGTTTTATATTGAGTAGACTATGACCTAATATTTTTCTTTTATAAAGAAGAAAGTATGGATTTACTTCAGCTTCTTCATTAAAATTTCAACTACTTATTTTTATAAAAATGTATGTAAATTAAAGACGTAGAATTTTCGTTTTATTGGGTGATCCATTAAGTTGCCATTAATATAATATAGAGTATATCTCAAGTTTTTGGCTGCTATTCAATAGCAAAGTAACTTGAGAACTTAGCACAATTATTAGTCTCTATCTGAAATCATACTGCTATCAATTAGAAAAAAATAAAAAAGTGCAAAGTAATGGATTATTAGAAGAAGAATTTTAAAATCTGAAATCTGCAAGTTTGAGGCATCCATCTTGCATCCTATCAGCTTTTTATTTATATTTTAACTTAATTAAAATAAATTTAATTTAGCATAAAAAATTTTTAATATCGTCCATTATTTTATTAAAAAAAAACAAAAATAATTAAGGAAGAATCTATATATTTAATCATAAAGAGTTTATCTAAAAATAAGGTGAATAATTCTAATGGAAGTAACGGTTCTGCTTTCGTTACTGTGTGCATAAATTTCGTGTATTAAAAGAATTAATCATATTTTTCTATTTATACTTGTAATTTATTTTCCCCAGAAAATCCTTATTGCATAATAGATTTAAATTAAATAACAATAAAAAAGTTATTTCTATTGAACTAATTTGTATATCATTGTAATAATTTAGAGTGATTTTTAGATATAATTTAAAAGTAATTTCATCTGCTTCGAAAGTATCATTTTTATAATTGTGTTGTTAACTGATTAAAGCATAATTATTAACATAAATTTATAAATTTAAATAGAAAATAAAATATAAATTTCTTCAGAATACAACTTCCTAAATTAGAAATGAAGCCATAATATGAAAAACTGAAAGTATAAAGAAAAATCAGGATAATTACTTAAGAAATGGAGTAGTTTAACGAATGAAAAAAACGAACTTTTGTAGAAGAAACTTGTAGTCAAAGAAAAGAATCTAGGAAAATATGGAGAGAACAACTAAAAGAAAATGCACAATAAAATTGATCATGAAGAATAAGAGAAGAACGATGTAAATAAGATTAAAGAAGATGGAGAGCAGACGAATGACATAAATAAGACCGGAGCAAAGTGGAAGAATTTCAGATTTGAAAGTATTAAAAGGAATGGAGAAGAATTTCTTCAGCTGGAATAAAGCTTCAATAGCAATAAGACAACGATGAGGAATTAAAAGTGAAATCAAATATCTATTTCTAATGTTTCAGAAAATAAAAAACAGTGTAACGAATATTTAAAACTTTTAAACAAATTATATTAATTTTAAAAACTTTAATTAAAATTTCAATCACTTACAGTACTGTACTTAGAAATTTTTAGAATAAAAACAATTAATTTTAAAGTTTAGAACAAAAATATTGAAATATAATTCATTGTCAGTCTAACTATAAAAATAATATGACGACCTTGTCTTTAATTACAGACATGAATTAGAAAAATGATTAGTGAATACTTAAACTTATTTGGATAATAATACTATTTTAAAATAATTTTATTAAATTATCTATACAATAATTAGAACGTTTGCAGAAAAAATGAACTCAATGTGCAACAATGAAAACTCAAGAATTAGTAAAGACTTAAGAACTTGATGATATTGAAATGAATATGAATATAATTAAAATAGTTCTAGTAATTTCTTCATAGAAATTAGTTTAATGTTAAAAATATAAGATAAAATTAATTCCAGATATATGTAGAAATTTAAATTACCATGTTTGAATAATCCTCAAAATGGTAATTTTTAACGTTTATGAATTATTTTAAGATGTTATAATAATTTTAAGGTAATAGAATAAATAGAAACGAATTTTGACAGATGTAAAGAAGTAAAAGAAATTATAAAAGGTGCAGTTAATCGTTTTACAAATACTGGCCTGTTACCATCTTGGTTATCTGATGTTCCATTTTCTTGATAACCCATTATAGTTTCTGCAGGAGCAACTTTACCTGCTGAACCTGATCTTGAACCTTCTTTTTTTCTATGTAAAATTTTAAAAATATATTTAAATTTCTTAATCAAAAATAATATTTTTCTTCAATTTCGTAATCTTATTTACCTTCTGAACATGCAACAATAACAGCACAAGGCAAACAACGCTAAAATCAAAATGATCACCAGAACTATTAGTAACCAAAATACTGTATCAAATTGTGCTTTTCTAACCGTTTCGACCTGAAAATATATTTTAAAAACTTATAATTTTTAATAAATTTTAACGCATTTAACCGGATAAATTATTAAAACGTTACTCACTGTAGGACCATCAGAAAAGAGATATTGTCTTCCAAAAATATCGCTAAAAGTAAAAATTAAATTACATAAAAGTTAATTATTAATTAATATATTAATTAAACATATCGTTCAGCTTACCTAACCATAAACTGTAATCCTGTTAAATCGATTGTTGAACTTAATGGATAAGCAACCCATGTTTTTATTAAAGATCTAAAGAAAGAATAGCCATTTTATGACATTAATAAAAGAGATGCTATTAATCATGGCAGATAATTAAAATAGATCATAATTAAGTTTTTTTTTTAGTATACCTTTCTCTACTTGTATTATACGGTTTAATGGAATGGATATTGACGTGCGCTCCTGTCAAAGATGAAAGACCTCTAACATGAGGTCGTTACGATTATTAAAGTTTAAAAAAATGGATATTTTATCGGTTTATTTACCTTTCTAATTCACTTTTTCTGTCCTTATATACCTCTTCGTGTTCTGGTAAGATGAATGTTATCGTTCTGTTTAGATACTCCTGATTATGAAAAAAAAGTTACATATAAGCTTTACATTCAAGGCAAAATATAGATTGTATTATATTTATTTTATAAAATTACTTGATTATGCACTTGAACCGCTACGGTGCTCGATCTAACGGGAACACCTTGATCATGAGCTCTAACAACTAAAGTTATTACAGGTAACACTCTTTCAGAAGGATCTTGTTGGCCATTGCTTGGGGTGAGTTTATCTTTTAGTCGAATTTCTCCAGTTTTTTCATCAATTGAAAATTTCCCCTGATAGTTACCGTTGACAATCTCATAGCGGATGTTAGAATTAGGACCAGGACTATCGGCATCTTCTGCCTTTATGAAAAATTACTCTAGTTTGTTTAATTCCAGTTTATGCTCCTTCGAAATTAAAAAAAAATTCACCTACCGAAACTATCAATCTTTCAGTAAAACTCTTCATGTCGGGATTAAGTACTGCATTATATCGTGGTTGAAGAAACATGGGCGCATTATCGTTAGAATCTGCCAATTTTAATAATAATTCTACTACATTTTTATTTCCTCGTCCTCTATCATCTCTAGCTTCCACTGTTAAAGTATATTCAGGAACTCTTTCACGATCCAATCCTTTCGCTGATACAAGAGTAATTATTCCAGTCTGTGGATCTAAATTCAAGCTAAAATAATAAACATAGTTTAATGACTAAGTTATAAATTATAATAATAAAATTATATATTAATGAAGCATGTAAAGCGTCATACTTTCTAGCTATAGGACCGTTGATAGATGTATATCTTATCTCTCCAAATTCACCTGAATCCTTGTCTGTTGCCTAATATCACAAATAACTAATTTTAATTTTAATTATAGAATTATTTAATTAAAATTAATTTCTTTTTACTCACCTCAATTTTAACTACAGTTGTACCAGGTACAGCATCTTCAGGTATAGTTGCTTCGTACCTTTCTTCTTTAAACTGCGGTATGTTATCGTTAGTATCAATGATTTTGATACGGATATCTGCTGTTGATGATAAAGGAATTGTTGATTCTGTTTCTCTTGCTACAATCTAAACATTAAAAAATAAAGCCTATTGTAAATCCTAATAATTAAAATATAAATATTAATTCCTACTTACAGTAAAATCTAAATATTCTTTTTCATTAAGTTCGTAATCGAGTCCTGTAGGATTTTTTACTAGAAGAGCGAAAGTAACTTCATTAATTCCGGTTGAAGGCTGTACTTCGAATATTCCTCCATCACCCTCCAAGTACAGTTGAAAAGTTCCATTTTTACCCTAAAATTATGAAATTTAATTAAGTATTGTTACATGATAATCAGAAACAATTATACTTGCGAATTTTCCATCATACCCTATCTTCATCTACAACTTTTGCAACTGTGGCACCTTCCCATTTTACAGCTGTTAATGGAGGACTATTCTCCTCAATATTGCCAACGTATTTCGTACTCATAAATCTTGGACTGTGGTTTTCTGTATTTAAAAGCACAAGAGCAACTTCTGCAGTTGATGAAGTAAGTGCCGATTGTGGTCCGGATACTACTTCACTAGCCTAAATTTAGTTAAATCGTGGTAATGATTTTACATTAATTCTTTAATATTTTCATATATGACTCACCTTAACTTCAAGTATAAGAGGGCAAACTGAAGCATATAATTGGCGTAACTCCTGCATTGGTCTGGATAAAGTTATAGCTCCAGTTAATTGATTGACAGAGAAATAAGTAGAAGAACTTCCTGAAGATAGTTATCATCAATTTACAACGATATATTATAAATTTTAAAAATAATTTTTAAAAAATTCTCACCTGGAACAATACTATAAGTTACATTACGCGACTTGCCAAAATCACCATCTTCTGCTGTAATTTTGAAAATTTGATCCCCCTAAAAATATTTATATTAATATATTAAATTCTAATTAATAAATATTTTTTAAATGTAAAAATTACCGTTTTAACGCTTTCAGAAATGGCTACAACTGGAGGTAAGTTCTTAAAAATTGGAGGAGTATCTTGAGTATCTGATACCATTACAACGATATCCAAGGTAAATACATTTCTTGTATCAACTGTTTCGTTCGTCCAAGCATTCTAAAATAGATAAAATAATTAAAAAATTGCACAAAATTTAAATTATAAACAATTTATTTAAGAATTTACCTGAGCAATTACTGTCAATTTGAAAACGTTTTGACCTTCGTAATCAAGAACACGAACAACCTCTAACTCAGCTTTACTTACTCCTCTTGGACCAAAAACTGGACGTAGAAAAAAGTGTTCCGGTTCTTTATTCTCTTCCTAATTTATANTTGACTTCTATTATATTATTTTAGATGCGGGATTTTGCGTTTTTGATTGCGTTTTAATAGGGTACGTCAACAGAATGTACACTAACAACAAATTTTTCGAAAAATTTTCCCCCCACGGGGGAAGTGTTATACATTTATAATAGATACATTTTGAGCCACAACAACGCGTGGCGGGGTCTGCTAGTTTATTATAATTATAGTATCATAAATTATATCAATATTTAAAAATATTTTTTTTTAATTTAAATTTCAAAATTTGATTATATGACAATATAATGTATATGCACACATTTTAAAACGTCATATTTACATCCGTTTTCATTCTAAACAGAACATAAAAGGTAATGATGATAACATTTTATTTTTTGTGTCTAGATAAAATTTATTTATTTATTTTAAATAAGTTTAAAATTACAATTTAATTTTATTAATTTGTTTATTTTCTCACTATAAAGTATAAATTACATTTAAAAATTATATAGCAAATTTTTTTTAATGGAAATATACATTTTTCTTTTTTTAAAGTAATGATATTTCTATATTTCTTTTTTCACAGGATGAATTTTTATCTAAAAATGAACTAGCGCTTATGAAACTTATTTAATTTAGAAAACAATATTTTAATATTAAAGTCATCTAACCGTAGGTTTTGATATAAGGATAACATCAGCTTCAGTTGCTGACACGGATTTCATTTGTACCAATTGCTTTCCTACTGAATCTAGGACTCCAAAAGTAAGGATATCGGCATCAGGATCCGAACCTTTGAGCCTATAAATTGCACTACCTGTTTATAAATAAAGAAAATTAACCGAAATAAAAATATTTTTAATAAATTAAATACACTTTGAGTACATTTGGTACGCTTCTTACCTGTTTTAGTATCTCTTGGTAAAAGCAAAACCCTCATGTTATTTGATTCGAAAAATGTCGGTATTACACCTAAATATTTAATTTAAAATTTAAAAAGCTCATAAATTTTACAAAAGATATTAAATTTATCATTTATAAAGTGTAATTTATAACATTACCTTGAACACCTTTTTGTATAATGACGAAGATGATAACTGATAAAATCTTCATTTCTATACAATTTCACATTCTGTAAAGTTAAATTTTTAGTTTTTGTAATAATTAAATTAATCAATTGTGTTCAAAATATAATTTAAAGCTAACATACCTAGTTTTAAATACTGAAAGTATTAAATGAGTTTAAAATGTAGGTAAAGTATATGAAAAGTTAAAATAAAATGGAAAATAACATCTGTTCAATGGTTAATATAAAATAAAAAGAGTATCAGATCAATATATCACTATGTCTAAGCATGTAAGTCACTTTCCTAGTATAAAAGGGATAAAAATTGACCTATATTATCTATTAAATTGTTATTTTCCAAGTATTATCATAACACTTTTCAGATTTAATTTCAATCAATAACATTATTTTAAAAGTGGAATTTTTCCGAGAAGTAAATAAAATTAAAAAGCATGAAGCTAAAGCAATAAACTGAGAAAAGGAAAATCGTGTTTTTTGATCATTTTCAAAGTAATAAAAGCATTTTAAACTGTATTAACATGTTAAAAATTTAATTTCAACACTTAATTTCAGAAATAAAAATAAATTTCTATTTATTAAACGATACGAAAAAAATCCAGAAAAAATTATTTTTTTAAATTTATTTAATTTAATCCTTAATTTTTTATCTAGTCGTTTTAAATGCAAAATTAAGGAAATACAGAAAAGAAATTATAATTCTTTTTTTAAATTGTTCTTTAATTAATCAGAAGCATACAAAACACCAAAAATGTATGCTGAATTTTCTTAAATGTTTACAAGAATAAGAGATTTCGTAATTAAAATAAATATTTTTTTTCCTTATTTTTAAAATTTAAATATCTTGTACACGATCGATGCACACTTAACGATCGTTCAGTATCTGTGTATGGTTTGACGAGTATCAATTGATCACCATCAACCTATATAAGTGCTTTGCTTAATCAATATGACTAACCTTATTATAATAACGTACATAAATATTAAACATAAATTAGTAAATTTCATTATAAAGAAAAAAATTTTAAAATTTCTAAAACAAAATAAAATTTCATAAAATTTCAAATTTTCCAAAAAAAATTGTTTAAAATTGCACATTAAAGCTAATTGATTTAACGCATTAAAATATAATGAAGTTAAGAATAATACAGTACAAACCGTCCAGTAAAATGGCTTCACTTAAATGAGTTTGTACCATGCGATATCCTCAAAACGTTGGTGTTACTACTGGCTAAACTCTAAACTGTGCCCTTAATATGGGAAACAAATCTGTATACATCTTGCCCATAATAAATGGCGAATGTTTGTTGGACTGGGTTCTAACCCGGTGCCTCTGTGCAGTAGGTTATCACCTCCCATTAGATTAATCCATTAAAATTTATATTATTGAATGTTTCATTAACAATTTTTCATTGAAATATTATCCAGGTATATTTTCAACTATAAATATATCAATATATTTATTAGCATATTTAAAATTTTATTTTTTAATCCTGAATAAAAAATTTAATATTTAAAAAGTTAAGTGCATGAATCTTCCTGTTTGTATTTTTTGTTTTTACTTCTATGAAAAATTACTGATACAATAAATGAATATTTTAATACTCGAAAAATATGATTTATTTATTTAAATTGATTAAAATAATAGAATATTTATTATATATTTTTAAAAGGTAATTTATTTATTCTAGAAATTAAAGAAAATGAAGAAATGAAGGCACTCTTAAATTCAGATCGCACTTGTTAAATTAATTACTACTAAAATAGTAAAATATTTCATAAATTTTGGAAGTATTCGATATATAGAATGGCTCAAAAGTCGGGTAACATAGGCCTTTGACAAGCAATTCAGCAATTTTTGCAAGAAAGTTGGAAATTTATGGAAGTTTATTCGAATTTTTATAATATATATAATATTAGATAAAAGATAATAATAAAAGAAGGAACTCATTTCGAACAATATTCGCAAAGTTTACGATTATTTGAATAAGACAGTAATTTATTCTATACAATAGTTAACTGAGTTTTGGGAAATCCTAAATATAATTTTCAATATTCTGAGCATATTAAAAGTTCCGATTAGCCAAAATATTGCAATGGAATTTGTGCTATTTAAATGCTTTTAAAATAACAAATTCCACTTTTAATCTTTTTGATTTACAGTTCTTCGATTACATTAACCCAAGAAAAACTTTTGATTATTCATTTTGGAAGAAAATGTAATAAATTATACCAGATAATTTACTTAAATCAATGAAAATTTAAACAAATATATCATTTATCTTACTGATTCGAGATAAGAGAATTAAAATTTAGCACTATTAAATAAATGATTCTAAGTTAATCGAATTCATGTTTTTATCCTATATACATATTGATCAAGTTATTAGTAGGAATTAGCAAGTTGATCTGAATAGATTTTAGTTAGTAAGAACGAAACATTGCATGCCAAATAAAGTACTGGGTTTATTGAAGATATGCAACATTAATTTTTAAAGTGCAGTATTTTCGAAAATAATGACTTGATACTATTATTATTGAAAAGGTTTTCTGATTTTCAAATCTAAAAATTCCAGGGAGCTTTAATATGTTTATAAACTCTCAAGAAATTTTTAAACACTTTAAATAGTTTAAGAAATCCTTAAATTAACCAAAATCTTTTTAAATATTTTAATTTCTAATTTATTTAAGGATTATTAAAAATATGTTGAATTTATTTAAAATTTTTTTAATGAATTTTCAGATATTTGAAGCTTTTACTCATCATAATTTTTAATTTTTACTCGAATTAATGGACTTATATTTATTGAGTTAAATCGATATAAAAACGTGAGAGAACTTTAAATTTAAAACGGAATTTTAATTAAAAAACAAGATAAAAAAACTTTTATAATATTAAATCCTAATTCTAAAAAATAAATATTTATTGAATATTTTAAAATAATTTTAAATACTTTATTGAAACTATTCAACAGGATCGTTAATAACGTGAATTAAAAGCAATTTTAATAAAATCCAATTTTTAATTTATATGTCTGTAAAAGGAGAAATTAAACTTGATTTTTAATGTTTATTTTCTAGAATTTCTGGATAAATCTAAAACAATTTTTAATAAATAATTCGAAATTTCAAATTATTAAAGAGAAAAACACTACAAAAAATTGGAAAATTGTTCGAAATTTACATTAAAAAACATTTATTAAACAAAAAATTATTATTTCAATTTTTTAAAATTTTGAATGAAATATAAATTAAATTTTTTTATATATATATTTATTTTTTAATAAATTATTCATAACTTTTCTCCATTCATAGAAAAGTCATACAATGAAATATGTTTCATCACGATACAACTTTAATGTTAAAAATTATAAATAATCTCTTAAATTTTGAATATTTTTATTATAAAAAGTATGAAATCATCGTTTAAATTTTGAATTAAATGTATAAATTTTCAATTATTTTAGTTATAAAATATATTTATATATAATTTAACGTTGCATCAGAACAACCAAATCAACTTCATAATTGTTTTGACAGGTTAAATCCTAAGTTATTTAATTAAATATTTTAAATTTATAATGTTTACTAATTAAATTTAGTCTCTTTCTAATTCAAAATTAAAATTAAATTATATAAATACATTTTTTTCATCATAGAATCCTGTCAAAAACGAAGTAATTGAATGATGTTTCTTCGAATCTCGCGGGGAAAACCGTAAAGATAAATACGAAAATGATTAAATTTAATCACGCAAATTTATAAAATTCAATGTAAATTTTTAATATTTTTATCCTTTATTTTATTCTTTATTTGATAGTCGAACA